CTTCGTGGCCTGCCGAGTGGACAGTGAGCCTGTGGCCAGCCTGAGCCTCCACCTTGGCAGTCGGCTGGTGGCCTCCAGTCAGCCCGGGGGTGCTCCTGCCGAGTCACACATCCACGTGGTGGCCTCTCCCAATGCCCTGAGGGTGAACATGGAGGAGCTGAGGCCCAGCGACCAGGGAGAATATGTGTGCTCCGCCTCCAACAACCTAGGCTCTGCCTCTGCCTCCACCTACTTTGGGACCAGAGGTGAGGGGGAGCAGGCTCCTTCCAGCCCCTCTGCGTGCAGGCCAGCTCTCAGGTCCAGGGCTTCTCTCCCTGAGCCCCTTCTGCTGGCCTGCAGCTTGTCTGTCTAGTCGAAGTTGATTGCTTGCAGATCCCTCGTATGGGGGCGCATTAGGGATAATGCGAAAGTCAGAATAAGTGGTGTCCTCGTGGGTGGGGCTGCCTGGGAGGAGCGGGTCCCCATGGCTGCCCCTGAGTCCCCACTCTGTTCCAGCCCTGCACCGTCTGCAGCTGTTCCAGCAGCTTCTTTGGGTCCTGGGTCTGCTGGCTGGCCTTCTCCTCCTGCTGTTGGGCTTGGGGGCCTGCCACACCTGGAGGTGGGTCCAGAACTGGGGAGGAGGGAGTGAACCAGACCGGCTCATCTTTCTCCCTTTCTCCTCAACATTTCCCGACATCCTTTAGGAGAACCTCCTTCCCACCACATTCACAGGCTGAGTACTTCTTAGCCGGCCCCTCCCAAATTTGGGAATCACTTATAAAACCCCCACTACATCCATCTTGCTGTAGTTTTCTTCTTTCCTTCTGTGTGCCGTTTCTGTGCTGAAGTGTCCCACTGTCCCCCAGGCTCTGCCGCTGAGTCCAGTGAGCCCGCTGGGGCCCTCTGTCAGGGGCAGGGGGAGTGGAGCAGCAGCGGTGGGGGACAGCTCTGAGCTCACTTTGCCCCTGCAGGAGGAGGCCTTTTCATAAGCTGATCACGGACAAGGGTTCAATGGAGATGGCTTCTCACAAAGAGACCACGCAGGTATCCTTCAACACGGGGGCACCTGTAGACACAATGCCTGGCTAGGCCCAGCGCCAGGCTGGCCGCGAGAGTGTGCGCTCATTTGTAGAATGGTGCCTGAGACCAGGGAGCGGGTGGGAGCCAGTCCAGGGAACTAGAAACCTCTAGGAGATAGATAAAACTGTATCCCAAGTCAGGAGAGTAGCCGGGTGTTACTGGGTGGCTGGATGACTGGGACGGAGCATGTGGACATGGCAGTCTCACGCCACTCCCAAGACATACCCCCTTTGCTATGAGGTCCCTAACCCCCATTTCTGAGCCTGCCTGTCACCTGGGCAGGGGTGAAGATCTGTTCCTCCTCCCCTTGTGCCCGTCCTGCAGATGCCCCTGCTGGTGGCTCAGACCTACGACTGCAGCCATAGCCACTCCACCAATCCCCCTGAGACCCCATCTACGGCTGGGGCCTGGGGGCTGCTCTTGCTCCCTTGGTCGTCCTGTGACCAGGGTTTTCTCTGTGGGAAGCTCATGGATCCTGATGAAGCCACAGGTGGGACCTCCCCCTGTGTTCTGCCCCTGAGCTGACCCATGGCCTTGCTTGTCCTCAGGAGGAAGAGGAGGACGAGATGGTTGCCAGCATCTGTGGTGACTCCAGCGCGGTGAACGGGAACAAGACAGCATTGGGTCCACCCACCTCTGCGAAAACATCTCTGTGACATCTGACTTGCTTTGACCTGGCTTCAAGCCTCTTACTCCCAAGAAAAATGAGGGTGATCTCCAATCTACCCAGGATGGTGTAGACCCTGGGCAACTCTGAAGAGAACTGAGTCGATCATGTCCACGTCCTCTTTCCTCTGGGTGTCCTCTCTCCTCTCCATTTCTTCTCCAGAGGAGACACCGCCCCCTCACATCTTCCTCCCCAGAGCCCACCCTGGACTTTCTGGATGGATTAGAATGGAAGTGGAGTGATTGGTGTCCTCATTGCTCGCCAAGGCACTCTGTATTAGACAGAATGGAAATTGGCTGCTCTAACCGGAGACCAAATGCAGTGACTTCGACATGATAGAATTTTGTTTCTTTCCCATACTTAGTCGGTTATGGTGGTTAAAGGCGCTGAGACTCAGGATGCTTCTGTCTTACTTGTTTTCATCCATAAAATGTTGCCTTTGATTATGAAGTTCACGATGCTATTCCATGCCTGTGTCCACACTCCCTCCTTTCCAAAGAGGGAAGAGTGAAAGGGAAAGACACACTCATTCTCATTGCGGACACCACCCAGGAGCCGCACAAGTCATTTCTACTCACTTTCATTGGCTGAGTTTAGTCACATGGCCACTCCCAGCTGCAAGGGAGCCTGGTAAATGTAGTTTTATGATAAATCCAGAGTACATTTAGAATGTCAACTTCCAAAGTACTCCCAACCATAAACTCGTCCCTGGGACTTTTTTTTTGAGAGAGATTTTTTTGCTATAGGGTGCATCCTCAAACCAAAGATACAGAAAGTGAGAAATCACCCCCCCCCAGGGGGTGATAGCCATATTGCAATCCCTTCTCTTAAATTCTCCTCTCAGGATTTTGGCCACCACGCACATGCGCCTGATGTGAGTTTCAAGTTGCCAGGTCCGGGATTCAAACCATGTGAGAGTCCAGAAACATAACCAGTGTGCCATTTACTGGTCCCAACATTTCTGAGACTTTTGATATTGATGGGAATGCCACCAGCAGGCCACCTTATGTCTTAGTGCACATCTGAATGCCAGGGAATGTCTCTGGTCATTCTGGTCATGAGCTTCTCGCAGGAGGTCGTGTTTCTCATACTGTCAGACTGGTGGTCCCTGGAGAGAGGTCATGCCAGGCAGTGGGGTTGCCTAAACAGACATCCCTGTGCCAGATCTGGCCCCTGGAAAAAGACCATTCTCAGCACTTGCACCACCAGGGGCCAGGCCTTGCCTCACTGGCCCTTTCAAGCGTGGGAAACAGACACGGATATGGCCAGCATCCTCCTTCAGGTGTGTCTTGCCATGACTGAGCTCCTGTTCTTTTCTGGAAGCCTATGCACCAGGGAATGTTCAAGTGAATAAGTGTTACCAAAGAGGAATGAAGTGCTTGGGAAATCAGGGACTGAGGGGCGCCAGTTCTCATGTGGGCTAGCGACTCCCTTTGTAGCCTGGTGGCAGAAGTTGGGAGGAGGGGAGTCCCAGAGAAACAGAGCAGTGGGGGGATGGCACAGGAGCTAACAGGCTGGGAAGAAACAAGGCCGGATGAGCTTTGCATAGCCAAGGCTGCATCCGCCAGCATTCCAGGCCCCCATTCCTTTTCTTGTCCAATGGGTGGACTCTTCCTGGGAGCCTGTCCAGCTGGTCTTACCAATAAACTTCCATCCTCTGATGCAACTTCCATCCCTTTTTTTTTTTTTTAAGAAATCGTTTTAAAATAATTATTTATTTAATTTTATGTATTCATTCATTTATTTTAATTTGACCAGAGAGAGATACACAGAGAGAGAGAGGGGGAAAGTGAGAAAGCAAGCCACCAGGTCCGGCACCCGAACCACGGTTGGCCATGTGGGAGTGTCCAGCATCCCAACCACCACGCCACCTGCTGGTCCCTCATCCCTTTTTTGCAACCTAAACTGGTGGGCTAGAACACAGCTGATTCAAATGTTAGTGGGGGTTCTTCTCTGAGACCATCTGTAGGAGGTGGCTGAGGGTGTGTACATTACAAGACATTTATCACACACGACCTTATGCTGAAGTGATGTGCCCCTTCCTGCTCTGTAAGGCTCTGTGTGTTCTCACCCCGGCTGCCCAGTGCTTGGCATGCAGTAAGTGGGCACTCCGTTTTTCTACACTGATGTTGACTGGAAGGTGGAATTCGTGGGCTAAGTCTAGAGGTGGGCTGGGAGAGAGCAAGCCCTGTGCAGCCGATGCTAGGAGTGGTCCAGGCAAGAGAGGGTAAGGGAGGACCCCAGGTGGCCACAGAACAGGTGTCTGCTAGTGGATCTGGGAACATCAGCCTTGGGAGGCTCCATCTGCCTCTGTTTATCTTTAAGGGGACATATGTCCACTTTGGCTTGAACAGTTCTCAGAAGAACAAGTTGCATATACTCCCAGGGGCCTAGGATCTCCAAGACATGAGTTTTTTAAGTTTATTTCTTCCACGAGAGAGAGAAACGAGAGAGAGAGAGAGAGAGAGTTTTCAATAGGGCCTTCATGCTGCCATCTGCGTCCAGTCTCAGCCAGCCAGGATCACAGGCACATACTCCCAGCATGCTCAAGGAACCCTTGGATCTAAACCAAGGATCTCTTCCTTCTGGGTCCAGTTGTATCACTGCTGCGCTATCTCCTGGCCCCTCTAAGACTTTTAAAATTGTATTTGATGAGACTAGCAGATGGAGTAATGGTTATATCACTAAACTCCCACATGGTCGACCACAGTTCGAGTCCTGGACACAGTGGATTAAAACTCATGCTGGGCATGTATGTGTGTGTGCCCAAAATACCAAGAGGAGAAGGGATTGTGGAGTGGTCATTCCCCCAGGAATGACCTTTTGATCTCTCTGTCTTTCTGTCCCTGATGAGTACACATACCTTGTAGCAAAAATCTCTCTCTCTAAAAAAAAGAAATTTATTTGAAGTTTAACATATAGAAAAAAGACAAGAGATCTTTAAAGTTCATGGAAAATGTGGAGTATGAAAAAATTACACATGGATTTCAAAATTTTTTTATAAATGCTTCTTTTCACAAACTTTAATTTAATTTTATTCATCAATAAATAGCAATATCTATTAAAGCAAACATACTCTTGTGCTGACCCTGAAATTCCATCCCTGGATATTTACTCAAGAAAAGTAAGGCTCATGTGCCATGAAACTTGTACCAGAATATTCACAGCAGTGCTACTCATAATAGCCAAGGGACCAGCAGATGGCATAATGGTTACATTGCTGGATTCCCATGTAGTCAACTGTGGTTTGAGTCCTGGACTGGGCAGTTTAAACTCATGCTGGGTGCATGTGCCTTTGTGCCTAAGATCCCGAGAGGAGAACGAAGGAGAAGGGATTGTGGTGTGGTCATCCCCCCTGGGGGGGGGATTTTTTTTGCTTTCTGTCTCTTTGTCTCTCTCTATCTTTCTGGAGAATGCACATACCCTATAGCAAAAACCTCTCTTAAAAAAAAAAATAGCAACTGAAAACGACAAGAGCACTTCAATAATAGGATGTCTACATAGGGCCAGCCCACAGTATAGCAGTTAGGAACTGTACAGAGGAAGCTGGATCCCACATGGTGGATCAGGGTTTGAGTCTTGGCCCTGTCAGCTTGAAAAAACACTCAATCATGATGGGATAAAGAATTGGAGGGGGAAAAGAGGATTGCAGCATGATCAGGCCCCCATTGGGGGTGCTTTCTCTATTTCTGTCTCTCTCTTAGGTATGTATGTACCCTCTGGCATTAACAAAATAATCAAAAAGAGTGGTTAGATAAACCATGCTGTTTACATGCTGAAATATGGCACAACAGTGAGAGTGGCTACAGTCGCACACAATCCAGGAGATGCTCTCAAGCATAACATCCAGTGAAAGGAGCCAGGTCTCAAAAGCACAGACTGCAAGATTCCATTTCTGGGACCAGCAAAGGGCATAATGGTTATGTTGCTGGACTTCCACACAGTTGACCACAGTTTGAGTCACGGACCTGGCAGCTTCAAACTCACGTTGGATGTGTGTGTGTTCATGCCCGAGATCCCAAGAAGAGAATGGAGGAGAATGGATTGTGGCATAGCCATTCTCCCTGGGGCGGTGATTTCTAGCTTTCTGTCTCTCTGGCAAGCGCATGTGCACTACAGCAAAAATCTCTCTCTAAAAACAGAAAGAGATTCCATTTCTGTGAAGTTCAAGACCAAACAAAGCTAATCAATGGTGATAGACGTGAAAGAAGTGTTTCCTATCAGGGTGTAACTGCAAAAGGGCTTTCAGGGGCTGGGACTGTGCTGCCTGTTGGTCTGGGTGCAGGTTATGTGAGTGTGTTTACTTCGTGAAAGTTCATTGAACTCACTTCCTGAATATGTATTGTATGTCAACAAGTAAGAATGTTTTAAAAATCCCTCTTCTTTTATTTGCGTTCAGATCTTTCCGTTTTCAGATCTTTCTAAGCACCCCCTTTGCCTTACCGAGGGACAACATGTTCCCCTTTAAATGCCTCAGGCTGTCAGGGAGGCAGCTGTACCTGTGTCTCCGGGGCCCGCCATTCAGACTTATGGCTTTTGTGGGTGCACCTGAGCACTGGCCTGTCATCTTCAGGTGCCAGTTGGGACATCTCCATGGAGTTTGGCAGCACCTCCCTGAGGACCCCTGTTCTGGGTCACTCCTCAAGGTGAGTCCTGTTTGCAGCTGGTGATGTCATTCATTCTGAGCATTTAAAAGGCTTAACTTGGGGCTGGTAGGTGGAGTGATGGTTAAGGGCACTGGACTCCCACATGGCTGACTGTAGTTCGAGTCCCAGACCTGGTGGCTTGCTTTCTCACTTTCCATCTCTCTCTCTCTCTTTCTCTCTCCCTGTCTGGTCAAATTAAAATAAAGAAATTAAAAAAAAAAGACTTAACTCTCACTGGTTAGCCTAGTTTCTGGGATGCTTTCTGATGCCCCTCTGGAGAGTGGCTCCAACAAGCCACTCCTTAAATCATCTTTCCCGAAGTGTGTGTGGTCAGGCCGGAACCCCGAGCTGTCAGTGGCATTCTAGGATCCACGTTCCTCAACTCTGGGCCACTGGCCTCATCTCCTCTGCACTGTAAACACACGGCTATCTACATGTGCACAGCAGTTACTCAGAGATCTCTGCATGTGGGCAAAGCTCATCCGAGTTTTGGAAACGTTAGTTTTGCAAGGATGACTCTGATCCCCATGTGGTTTTTAGGCTACACGTTCTCCTTCTTTCCTTACCTTTGACGGTGCTAGACTCGGTGTCAGGCAGTAAATACGACACATTCTCAGACCTCATGAAGCTGGGGTGTTCGGGACAGAGACAAAGAAATGGGCAAATACTGGGCCCGCAGGTGGCGTGAAGGCTAAGGGGGCTGGGTCCCACACGGCTGACTGTGCAGTTTGCGTCCTGGACCTGGCAGGGTGAAAAGCACGCTGCGCACATGTTCGTGCATGCCCGAAATCCTGACAGGACAATGGA